ACAATTGGACACCCATAGATGTGCATACGCACACACACAGGCACAGGTATGTGCATATATATATATATATGCACCGCTTTTGAGCCGAATCAAGATTTTGAGCCACTTTTCTCGCAGTTCACCAAGCCTCCGTTATGATGTTTTGTCAAAATTGGCACGTCTGCCTCGTTCTTGTAGATGTCATTACAAGAGTGACCTCAGATATGGCACTTATGCCTTGTACTTATTTGCGAGCTTGCAGTTCTTCAATCGGACCCTCTCTTAACTCCCCAAATTTCAATGTCCGGCCTCGCGAGACCAAAGACAAAGTTCGTGAAGTTTACAATGTGACCTCTGCTGCTTCTCCCCGAACCCTGCCATGCCCTTCTTGCCCGGCTCATGTAACCGCTTCCCCAATTCTCCGTGACTTTCTAACCTGCCTCACTTTCTTTTACTGGTCTCTGCATTCCATTTAATCCGCCACTTAATTCTACACGTCATTCCAGGAAAGTGTCTCGGATGGTGATTTCAGACTCCCTTACACACACGAGCACATCCCAACATACATATGCACACAGGTATGCACACCAAAATGCTGAATTTTTCTATTTCTATTTATTTCTTCCTTTTATTCTTTTTTATTTCTTTATATGCGTATCTATTCCCATCGAACTACCGACCAACATATTTACCTACCTATTTATTTATTTATCTATCTACCTATATATATATATATAGCCATCTGTCTACTTATTTATTTATCTATCGAACTATCTATCTATCTCTCAATCTATCCGAGGAATCATCGAGCCCAGAAGGAGTCGGTGGCACTCGTTTGTGCCGACGCCAATGCCAGCTGGTCGAAGGGAAGTAGTAGCGCATCCCCTCATGGCTGGTGTCTACGTGTGAGCAACCGAATCGCTGACATAGTCACGACGTATCAACGCTTGATTGTACCAGGTCAGGCCCCAAATCCGGCACACCAACACGATCGTCAGGCTCGACAATGTAGGTGTTTGCGACTCCGGCACTGATTGGATCTGCTTCCACAATGCTCGCCTCTCCGCGTGCCCGGGGGCCGTGCTCAGGGCGTTTTAAACAAACAGAACTGGCTCGAGTGCTTCGGAGTCGGATAACTGGCGCCCTCTTTGCAGCGCCGTGTCCGAACCCTTCTACCAACTGGCCAACCGGCTTGCCATGCCACCTCTGCTCGGGCCCTCTGGTACCGGTGGACCGACAAGGCCTGCCAAACATGCAGGGCGTGGACATCTGGCGACATGTTTTGCCAATAGGCCCATGTCCGATTCTTGCGGGAAGCGGAGAGGAGAGTGGGCAGTGTGAGGACAGACAGCCGGCGAGTGGAGGGTGGAGGTGTAAAGAGGACAAGAGGAGTGTAGATCTGAAGAGGCAATTTTTGTGAAATTTTGTTTATTCTGATCGGCCCAGATTGCTTCGTCAACTGGGCCCGGCCTCGAACTGGGCCCAGTCCAACGGTACGGACAGTGCAGTCGACTAATTTGGGCCTACATGACCACATGACCGCATACGCTTTTAATGAGAGGGCGGAGGTGAGAATTAGCCTAACCAGGCAAAACAGAAGAGCATTTGGCCCTCGTATAGCGTGTCCAGCCGCCAGGTGGAAGGTGTCAAAGGGGACGAACGGGTCTTTATACGCGAATTCGTATTGCTGTATCAACAAAGTACTGCCTACAACGCTTATTCAGAAGGGAAGAAAACTGGTCTTGGGCGCCTGCCCTCGTCTCCCTCTCGCACAGCCCCGGACCACTCCCCAACTGCTGGTGGCTCGATTGCATACAATACACATACATACACACATTATATATTATTATATATATATATATATGCACATACCTGTGCCTGTGTGTGTGCGTATGCACATCTATGGGTGTCCAATTGT